AAATATTCTCCCAAAAATCAAGAGGTACCTATACCGATAAGCATCCATTGCTTTTTCTAGGTACCTATTCATATCGTTATATTAGAATCAACATATCTTGTAAATTAGATGAATATTGGATATGGATAAAAAAAGATTGATTGATTGATTGATTGATTGATTGATTGAGGTAGCTTTAGGGGGTGATGGTGCTCCTTTTGGCAAAGATGACACAGCATGTGCCTGGCTTGTTAGCTTCCTGAATATTGGCCGTGGAGTTCTTAGCAGCAATAAGAACTTCCTTATTTTTGGAGCAAATTGTTCTGAAAGTGCTCTGCCTAATGATATGAAAATGCTTGCTTTTCTTTCAGGTGAACTCAATAACAGTGCTACATACTTTTCATCTTTTGCAGATGTGTCCACTTCAAATGGAAAATGTTTGACTGGTACATTTGGGAGAGAGGAAAAGAATACCTGGAAGCCTTGGGATTACAATTCTCCGCTGCAAAAACGAGCAGTAGCCCGGGTACTAATTTGGCCGAGTGGGCCTGGACAAGTCGTTTGGGTAGACAGAACAGTTAACAAACCAAACAAATTTAGTAACGTGACGGGTGAACCTGAAAGCTATCTGTTTTAAAATGCCAAAACCAGTGAATTGCTGCGTTCCTCAGTGCCTAAATAACTTTAGAAATGCACCACAGCTACAGTATTATAGAATTCCAAAGGATCCAGTCGTCAGAAAGCAGTATATTCGTCTGATACGAAACAAAACTCTCAAACTCGAAAGCGACAACACGCGGATTTGCTCTCAGCATTTTGAAGGTGGGAAAAAGAACAATCGACAACATTTGCCTTCAATATTTGCATGGACAAAAGCAAAAGAGAATCGGAGACCACTTAATAAGAGAGAACYTCCGAATAACACAACTATAAATTCACGACGAAAAGACTCTGACAAACCAGCATCGCTCACGAGTACCATGGAAACCACTACAACAACAGAAGCCAGCGATGTTATTATGGAAGATGAAAATAATGAAAYATCTGCACAAGATGAATGCTTAGAAAGACCTCAAGGTCTTTACAGACCAAGGAACACAAACAGAATCATCATACTTCACAGATCAAGATAAACAGCACGAGAGTACCATACGTGAATTGAACCAGACCATTGAAAAGCTTACGAATGAGTTAAAGCAGCTACAATTCCAAATGAAAGGGGATTTTGAAAGTTTAAGATTGAAAACTATAAAGATAATCCAAGTCATATTGCATTCTATACAGGATTCCATGACTACGAGACTCTCTTACTCTGCTACGATATTGTTGAAGAATCAGCGAAGAACATTAACTATGGATCATACTCAAAACTTTATGATGATGATATGATTGGTAGACCTAGAAAGTTGTCTTGTTTCGAAGAATTTATTCTTGTTGCTATGAAACTAAGACTTGGTCTTTTTAATCTTGATCTGGCACATCGATTTAAAGTCTGTGAGAGCACTGTATCCTTAATCTTTAGAACTTGGATCAGATTTTTTAGATTAGAGCTTGAGCCCCTAATCTTATTACCACCAACAGAGGTCCTGAAACAACATTTACCACCACTCTTTGAGCTACATTATCCCAAGACAGCATTAATCATTGACTGTACAGAATTTGAAATGGAAAGGCCATCATCASTTGACAATCAGTCAGCATGCTACTYGCAATACAAATCCAGAACCACCATGAAGGCTTTAATTGGCATCACCCCAAGTGGAGTCACAGCCTTTGCCAGTGAGTTATACCCTGGCAGTATATCGGACAAAGAAATTGTAAAGAGGAGTGGATTGTTACAAATCTTACAGTCTGGTGATCAAATCATGGCAGACAAAGGGTTCACAATCAAAGACGAGTTGGCATCAGTAGGAGCTACATTTGTCATGCCCAAMTTTCTGCAAGCCAGAAAACAATTCACGAAAGAGGAAGCTGAGCACAACAAGAGGGTTGCAAGTCTAAGAGTTCATGTGGAGCGGGTCATGGAACGCATCAAAAACTGGCACATTTTAGATAGGAGAATTCCAATAAGTTTAGCACCAATTGCTTCAGATATAGTTTTTGTTTTATCAACTTTTACTAATTTTTCTCCCCCCCCCCCTAATATCATAAACTTTTTCAATTTTCAATTTAATGATAGTCTACAATAGTCAAATAGAACTTTTTAGGCTACATGTTGTCTCGTTATTATTGATTATTATTACTTGTGAACTCTACTTAGCTATTGGCTATCTTAACAATATATGTTTTATACATTTATTAAGATTTTTATACTTAATATTATTAATGTCACATGTAAAAATTCTATTAAAATTATTCTTATTGTTATTTTAACTAAGTTTATATTAAAGTATTGACATTGTTACATCAAATCAAAAACAAAAAAGTAGACTTTTTATTCTGAATGTATTTATTTACAAACAACAACAAAATTACAATACTATTTACATTTTGTTTGCTACTGATTGATTATTCTAATATKMAATATTTTTCTTGTCATGGAAATATATCTATTATATATCTAACCCTAATGCACCACTATTTACATTTTGAAAACACTGTTTTGAAAARAATTAGATATTCCTTTGAGCTGCATTCAAATCTAAAACTCTCCTTGTCTGTCCATACTTAATACTTGGATAAACTATTTCTGGTAACATGTGTTTGTCAAAAAAATACTTAAGCTTTGGAAAGATATTTCCCCAAAAAACAGGATCAAATTCTACTCTTTCAATGTAAAGTAACTTACATGATGATCCTTTAACTGCAAAGTCAGTCCATGTTTTGTTTGCGACATACATTTGCTGTTGCATTTGATAAAAATACTGGTGCTTACAATTGACTCTGATGCCATTATCACTTGCTATACAAATTCTTTTTCTTAATAAAGCTTCTGATAGACTTTCTGAGCTATTTGTTTGGATATATTTCATCTCTAGTAATCCTGATGACTGATAGTTCTCTTTTTGTTCTTTAACCACTCCATCTGGGCTTGCACCGAGAAATCCATGTGTTGGACTGACAAAGAATCCACAATCCTCTACACTTACAGATACTCCATTTCTTGCCTTTTCTTKTATGTACTCTTCTCTTATGGTTGTTTCCTGGGTTAGGCCTGCAATCATAGCACTGGTCGGTTTAAAGTCCTTGTATCCTAGTACTTCTGCAACAGCTTTTGRTGGTGATGTRGATTCTTTTAGGGAAGCACACCTGTATGCTTTGGAGGCAGTGATACKKAACTTCCTGTGATAATACCATYCACTGCTTTCTGACTGTTTTCTTGTCTGAGCCTCAWCAACTTCAATTTCTTTCTCTGTAAGTTGAAGATTGTTCACAACAKCTTCACAACGCTGATGTATTTCTTGTAATGACACGGGATGTTCTTTAATAGGAGAGATAAGTTGTATTGACTCAATCTCGTCAACTACTGGAGGTTTAGCATAGTCATGGTCCAGGTTGATTACTTTCTTTAGGAYTTCTGTTGTGTTCTGCTGTAGAATGTGGCTAAGTCCAATTAGTTTCCCAGTCTTGTCTTGAAAATTCATGACTTTTGTGTATATGTTATACAGTTTTGYATTCCTTGYTGTGCTACCAGTAGGAACAGATCGCACATCATGTCCTGGTGAAATGACTGGGTTTCTTGGCTGTTTAACCTTTCCATGTTCATGCTTTCGAAACTTAAGATTGGCAACTGGTACGAGGTCCACCTTGCGCTTTCTAGGCACATTCCACTTKCATTTCTGTGAGGTGCAAGCTTCCYCTGTKTCCCCTTGCTTTGATATAACTTTGCAAAACTCTTCTAAACAAAAGAGAGTTGCAGCAACATGGTTGCAGCGTCCATCTATTCCAGCTGGACAACCACAATATGCTTTTTGTATCAAGCCATTTTTCCTTATTATAATATAACATAAATAGGACGTTGACTTCTTCATAGATGGTAAGACTTGAGACTTAATGTATGTTTTCAGTCCATTTTCACTGTTACAAGACTTCACTGTCAACACATGTCCTGACTTGTAAAAATTGAAACCCTTTATCATTGGCTTTGCGGTTGATAACTGTTTTCTAGCGTCTACACAAGAAACCATATATGTCCAAAGTGTCTTGAAAGTGACATGCGGTATTCCAGGCAGTGATTCACTGAATCCTTCCACTGGGAACGTAGAGCTGACATTAGGAGCGTGCTCCTCAAGGACTCCAAGCTCGGCTTTCTTTCTTGCCAAATGGACGCCACCGTCAGGATCTCTCAATTGACTTTTATCGAGGCCACATTTTATGTAATTTTTGACTCTGAAATTCAAAGGAGACTTGAATTAATATATATAATCGAATGAACAAAATGCGTAAGGTTCAAAGATCTTTCGATTGAAGGAAAGCATTCATAAATGTCAACAAACTTCCAACCAACCTTGTGATGAGTTCGATCTTTTTACCAGTAGTGCAAGCTCCTCTGCAAGTTAGCCATCGCTTGAGTTGTACGACATTACATAGATCTGGAGTTTCCTGTGGAAGAACAGCTCCAGGAATGTCTGATTCAGTTAAAATAAAGGTTTTTTTCGAGATAGAAGACGAAGACGCCATTGCTTTTACATTCTGGTCGATCATCTGTCTACCCAAACGACTCGTCCAGGCCTACTCGGCCAAATTAGTACCCGGGCCACTGCTCGTTTTGGCACCAGAATACCTAACCWTTAGGTATTAAAGTGCATTATGCCTTTTAGACTAGGTATTATGAACACTTTTACCTAGTACATTAGGTATTATACCGATGTAATGCGCCTGTCATGACAGCAAGTGTTCGTTCTTAATCCCTTTTCATATCCCCTTTTAGTACAATTTTAAACCCCTTTGTAGCCTAAAAATGGTACAAACGCCTTCCTTACTTAACAAGGAATCCTTCTGTCGATTTCTCTGGCCATCGTMCAGAGGCACGAGAGCAGGAAAGCAAGTAAAAGATCGTGAATCGTATAAGCGTCATTCAATCAACGTTGTCCAAGCACGGCCAACGAACCGTTAATCTACGCCGAGACACAAATCGTCGCATAATCCAGATAACTGCACTTATATCAAGCCGTGTCCTGCYTCTTCATCAATCGGATCTAAACGTACATTTGTTCCTTCGATTCTACTAACAAACACCATGTCATTAGCTCCTAAAATTGACGAAGTAAGATCGGTTGTACAAGATGAAAATGTGGACCTTGTTTGTGTTACTGAGACGTGGCTTCGGGAGCACATTGAGAATAACATCATCAATATTTCTGGATACAATATCATCCGGAGAAACAGAGTGGAAAGTCAGCATGGAGGGGTTTGCATTTACGTACGAAATTCCATCCATTTCACCGTTTTAGACACCATAATGGACCAAAACTTTGAAGTTTTGTGGATCAAACTTCGTCCTAACCAACTCCCAAGAGGCATATCTAGCATCATAATCGGCATTGTTTACCACCCGCAAAGTGCTAACGACCAAATGATGAAAACTTATTTGTACGATTCTCTTTCAAACATCGAAGCWCAATACCCTGATAGTGGAATTATCGTCTTGGGTGATTTTAACCAACTAAACATCGCTCGACTCAAGTACAGCTTTTCTGTAAAACAGATTGTTCCATTCCCCACGCGAGGAAAAAACAAGTTGGATCTCATCCTTACTAATCTCAGTTTACTGTATGACACTCCGATGAAGTTCCCTTTTTTGGCCTATCAGACCATGATAGCGTCGTCGTTCAACCACTTCTCCGTCAAGAAATCTCAAAGTGTAAAATATCTGTTAAGTTCAGAGATCTTAGACCAACCAAACGACTGGCGATGAGGAAATATCTTGAGGAAGTTTTGTACAAGCTTTGGTGGACTGTAAAGATTCCTGTGACGGAAAAACCGCAATGCTAGAAAATATCATTCGCACTGGCATGGACATATTACTCCCAGTTAAGTCTAAAACCATCATCTCCACAGAGCCACCCTGGATGAATAAACAACTCAAAGACCTGATCAAACAAAGACAACGAGCCTTCAACCGAAACTCTCCGCTATTCTGCCCTCTTAGAAATCAAGTCAATCGTCTCCRGAAATCATGCCGAGCAAAGTACTACGAATCAAATGTCGCACACCTCAAGGATTGCAAACCTCAGGACTGGTGGAAAGAAGTGAAAACGCTTAGTKGGATGGTCACGCCTACTCCTTGTGATTGCTTGTCAGATTTACAACACATTGACAGTAGTCAAGGTGATCCGAAGACCCTCTCCAATTCCATTAACGAGGCGTTTCTCGCTCCCATGAAGGACTTTACTCCCCTTCCTCCAAATGACTTTATTTCGGCCAATCAGCCCAATCCTGTCTCAGTTTCCGAATCATCAGTCTTCGAGAAGCTAGCATTACTGAACCCTACCAAATCACCAGGACCCGACGGCGTACCCAGTTGGCTTTTGAAAGAGAACGCTGATCTGTTGGCACCCATTGTAGCTACTATCCTCAACTGCTCCTTCCAGGATGCCAAGCTACCACCATCGTGGAAGAACGCAAAYATCGCTCCAGTACCAAAACAGAAACCAATATTGGATATTAATAAACACTTGCGCCCTATATCCCTGACACCAATTCTGTCCAAAGTCGCAGAAGAGTTTGTGGTCGATCAGTTCGTCAAACCAGCTGTACTTGCAAAAGTCGACCCTCGACAGTTTGGAACCATTCCTCGAAGCAATACAACTTTAGCCTTGATTAGCATGTTACATTCCTGGTACAGTTCCACCGACGGAAACGGCTCTACCTGCAGAGTTATCCTATTCGACTTCAGGAAAGCTTTCGACCTAATAGACCACAATATCTTGGTGCGTAAACTACATAAGTATGATATTCCTGAATCTGTAACAGCATGGATCACTGACTTTCTTACTGATAGGAAACAACGTGTGAAGTTAGGCCACGATTGTTACTCAGAATGGGGTCACATTCCATCAGGTGTTCCGCAAGGAACAAAGCTTGGCCCTTGGCTTTTCACTATCATGATTAATGACCTTGATTCTCCTGGCTATGATCTATGGAAGTACGTAGACGACACAACAATATCCGAAACAGTCTCGAAGAACCAACGAAGTACAATCCAATCGGCCGTTAACACCTTGGCTAATTGTGCTTCCGCAAACAACTTTCAGCTCAACGAATCAAATGTAAAGAGCTGCGCATTAGTTTTGCCAAAACTAATACTGTTTTCAACCCTGTCATCGTCAACGGAAAAGAAATTGAAAGTGTGTCAACTGCAAAAATCCTTGGTCTACACATAAGTGACGATCTTAAGTGGAACTTTCACATTTGTGAAACGGTTAAAAAGGCAAAGACTGTACAGTTTGTCCTTACTGAAGCGATCAGGTCTTGGCACAGATGAATTAWTYCAATTCTTTCTTACGTGTATTCGCCCAATTACCGAATACGGATGTCCTRCATWTCATGATAGTCTACCAACGTACCTCTCGTATGACTTGGAAGCAAACAGAAGCGTGCTCTACGTATAATTTTCCCGTTTAAGCATTATGAAGAAGCATTACATCTTTCTGGTCTGACAACGCTACAGGATCGCCGACAGACTCTAACCGAGAATTTGTTCAAAGAGATTGAGGACAAGGGTCATAAGTTACACAAATTACTACCGAGTTCAAACACTTGTAATCGATCATTGAGAAAGCAACACAAGTTTAATATATCTTTCAAAACAAACAGATTCAAAAACAGYTTTATTATTCATAATTCCTTAAAGGCTTGATAACAACCTAACTCTTTAGACCAATTTTTATTCTTACATCCTTTTTATCTGTATATTTATATTCTTATGATCGTATATATAGATATTTATTATTTTAATATTTGTAAACAATGCATATTCAGCCCATGGCTGCAAGTTAATTTGTCAATAAACTATCTATCTATCTCAAACCATCTATAAGCAGGATACCTAGTGCACGAGGTAGTATGAACGTTATACCTAACGGACTAGCTATTTTGCGGTCTTATACCTACTGCAAACGGGTATTATGTACAAATATCCCTAGCGAACAGGTATTCGAACGTTAATATTCCAAAGGGGCAATAACAACTGCTGCGTAATATTTAGCTTACCTTCCGATACTCATCTTTAACGAACMGTTGCGTTGTATATATTAGCCGCCATAAAAGTAATGGTTATAATAATACAAAATTCGTCATTCAAAATTCGGCGATCAATTTCTGCATGTCCGCTTGCTTGATGCTGTGTTAATGCGGTATATTGAATTAAATTAAATGTCTTGTCATTCGAAAGTCGCGAGGGTTCGTGCCTTAAAAATTGGCGCGAAAGAGGAATGTTCGCAAACAAGACGTCGATGAACTCATGGATTTTTGCGTGACGTTTTAACTTTTCTTCGTAATTTCGTCTTATCTGTCTTTAAATCACAATCTCTCCTTGGCAAACATTGAGAATTTGGAACGATTGTAACGTACATTTCATTAAGCGGAAATCGAACAATTTACAGAATCATTACTGCATGTCCGCTCTTGTGTGATGTCATATCAATTTCAACAATACCGACCAAACTGTCTGACTTGTACAAATTCGTATGGTTTTGACGACCGGGTCACACGCAAAAGTCGCGTGTTTCAGTGCTTAAACATTGGCGCGACAGACCGAAGCTCTTCTTCGAAATCATGACTTTTAGAGGGTCGATTTTATCTTTCCTTCGTGAAGTTAAGAAGTCTTCTACAACCAATGGGCATTGTTTGTTGCAACACTACTAGTTTTTATATATAAGTCTTTTGCAATATTAATGTAAATGACACCATTTCTCATGCAGAGTCTAAGCCAAAGCTTGGGCKTAACAYGACTCACYAWCACCATTTGAGYCAAAGTTGTGTTTAAAATAATTTGATAATGAAAAAAATCAGAAAAGGACACRAAGAAAGGACATTTAACAAGATAAAATGAATTCCTTGAGTGAGTGATGCAACAAAAGATTTTCAAGTTTCATTGTTTTTACTGAAGTGTGATKTCATGGATTGATTATTCTGCCTAGTAAAGCATGAATTGCACATTCAAATATCATAATTGTTTTACATTTAAGGGGAGAGCACCAAGCATGTGTACATGATCTCTCAGAGATCACAAAATTTAAAGAAATGATACCCATGCATACTTTGACTCAAATACACAGCCTTCTCATTGTATTAGCTCATATTTTYCTCTGCCATAGCGTTCAGCTCTTTGGAACTCTACTTTTGATATTATGCTGTTGAAGTGCACATCATCAGTGTCCTGTCTTATCCTCCATATATCTATTACGTTAGATGGAGAAAACCACTGGACAGTTRCAGTTATGACATCAGTATCCCTTTCAATTACTCTTCCATACCATCTGACATTGCTTGTTCCTTGAATAAGAAGATCATCGCCTAATTCCGGAAAGACAGGAACACATACACTAACGTTTGATTCTGGCTTCTGGTAATCTATTGGGATATAATAAGATGGTTCTTGGACATTCAGAGGATCTGGATATAATATGCATTTTCTCCTAATGTTTGCCACTGGCTGCAATCTACCACGATTGTAATGCCTTGGAACTAATTGGTTGGTTTTTGTCCATTCATGGACAAGAAAGTTTGGCCGATTGGTGACTACAGCACGAATATAATATTCTCCATCTGCAAAATTATAATAACAGCCATCTAAAGGCCCCACCATTGTGAATGATGATAGTTTGACAATCCATTCCTCTTGTAGGTTCTCACCACCAGCAACAACACAGGTGTCACCAGCTTGGAACCTTTCAATCTCCCCATGCTCATTGTACATCAATATCGTTTTGAAGCTGTTTGTGTTTGTGGGAACATCATTTACTTCGCGGTGA